CAGAGCGCCAGCTGTAGGCTTTTCCGCTTATGTGGCCCTATACAGCCAGTTATCTGTAAGCTCCGGGAGGCACGCACTCCCTGGGACCCGCTAAGGCCGCACCAGAAGACCTTTGATGACCACGTCCAGATTTCCAGCCGTGGCTCCCAGCAGAGCTATCGGCAGCTCCTACCCAGACCCTTCTGTCAGCGGGAGCCCCGACTGCATGAGCGGGAGCAGGACGAGGGGCTTTGGGGTTATCTAACCAAGACACTTGCTGATGTCCCGGAGGAGAAACTATTGCAGCAAGTGAAGGAGTCAAACCTCTCCACGAAGGAAGACTGAAAAATCAGTTTGGGTTAAATGAGAAAGGCAGCCTTGCCATTAATCAGGCTGGGAAGAGAGAGAGACCAGCTGAGATCCAGCCAGCTGCCCAAGTAACAGGACACAACGTTCCTCCCAAGGTCATGCTGGAAAAGGTCACAGTGACCCTTCTTCTGATGGATCAACCTCCTACCAATGACACTTGCTGGCTGGTCAAGAATCCGCTTTGGCTCAGGAGGACGGAGCTGCCTCCCTGTCTTCAGAGTCTTAAACTTCACCACGTCCCGGGAATTCCATGCCTTGGGACGCACAGTTCCTTGGGCATCTCGTACCTTCCACCCTGCCTGCACGCACGTCCCTTTGCTGAGGCTGTTTTGACCAGTTACTGAGCTCAGATCCTTCCAGAGAGGATCATAGACCGACTTCTGCCCAGCTCACCATACTGCTGAGCCCTGCTCCTCGGGTCATAGCTCCAAAGTGGCTCAGATATCCCGGAGTCCACTGCTACAGGAAAACCAATGTCTGTTTCAAGGGAGGACACACAGGTGGTGGTACAGGCGGTGAGGACGAGCTCACTTCTCTCTTCCTGCTTGATTACTGGCAACTATTAGTAAAGTGGCCGATAACCAAGTCAGGGGGGGCGCCAGGGGTGCTGAAGACGGAGGAAACATCTTCCCAAGTGCAAAAACAAAACATCCAGACCCATTATCAGAAAAACCTTAGAATCCTGGGCTGTTCCACTCCATCCCCTTTGTTCAAATGTAGTTCATGTTTTGAAGTTACCTATCCAAGGAGTTACCTGCCCTCATGGGAAGAAAGAAGAGACAGGCTGTAAGCAGGAAGGCAGATGTTTTCTTTTGCATCTTGGCACTCCACATGCCCACTGCCCCCTCGCCACCATGCAGCCTTGCCCCTGGAGCTGTGCATCAGACAGACACTGAAAACCATGAGTATCGCAGCCCGGAGGAATTCAACAGGGCAGCTCAGCCACCCAGCGAGTCAGCAACAACAGGGAACTTGGCAGCAAGGCACCAGGGTTGGGGTGGGAACTCGAAATTGAGGGGGTAGGGAGTTTCTCTGCTTTGTGTTACCAGCAGTCCTTTCCTGGCTGGATCACTAAGGTCATCGGCAGTCCTCCCTGACCTCCACCCCAGCCCCTTTTAAAAACTCTGCCATTAACAGGTTCTTTTCATCTTTCTGGTTTGTTTTTTAACCTGCAGTGTCAGAGGGGAGGAAAAACAAGCCAGCCAGTCTTGGCCATCTATTACTAAAAGGCACATCCTGCGCAAAGGAAAGGTAATTCAATTCTGCTCCTCGCTGGGCTTCCCAATGTCCCTTTCTTCCGGCTCCTCCCCTTGCCAGGCAGGCTCCGCCCTGCCCGTCCTCACCCAGCTGTCCTGCTGTCTTTGCCTTTCCTGCCTCCAAATCTATGTGGAAGCAAAATAAAGCAACCATCCCAAACCCAGCCATCCAGATTAAATACGCTTTCCAAGTGGGATGCCTGATGTTAGTCCCGGCGTCCAGAATGAAACGCTCGGTGCTGTGTGTCTTGCTGGTAAATGAGCCGTCTTGGCTGCATTTTGTCTCTACATGCCACTCGCATCAGTGTGGCCTTTCCCAGGCCGGCTTCACCACACCAGGGCTGCTGACTCCTTTGGATTTACCTGGTACAACACCAAGCTCTTAACAAACATTTGACGAGCACGGGATGATGATAGAGCCCTATTAGTAAAACGTGAATGGGAAGGGCGGTCTGAGTCTCCAGGAAACAACTTATTCTGCCTTTTTTCTTAAAATATCAGTGGCGAGTGATGGCTGCTGCTGATTTTCTAAGCTTTAGAGTGATTCATACGCCAGAACACACAATTAAACCCCACGAACAGTTTTCATCTCAAGTGAGAGGGGATGAGGGAGAAGCCATAGAAGGAAACTGGCCATCTCTTTGTCCAGGCTGCGAGGAGCCCGCGACCCACAGCCTGTGACCATCACCGGCCAGCAGCCTGTCTGTTACATGTCCTCTGTCGTCGTCGTCGCGAAGCACTCAGGTATAAGGAAATCGACCAACCGCAGACGGCACGTGAAAGGGGAAAGAGGAGAGCAGCTTTGCTGTGTAGCACATGTTAGGGCAACAGGTAAAGAGAATCCGGGAATAGGATGAGCCCCGCATTTGTATGGGACTCACTACAATGAGGTGCCCACAAGCCGAGCCCAGGCGGCATCACCCTGCCCTTCTACCACCTGCTCTCTTCCCAGGAGCCAGGACCGCTCCGTCGCCTCTCTGTTCCCAAGGCTATAAAATGGCTCCGTGTCTGCTCAGATGGCCTGTGGAAGCTCTGCTCTGGGGCCGTGGGCACAGACCACCGCGGGTGTACCTGAGGGAGCTGCCCGCGGATGGACGTGCAGCCAGGCCTTCCCATGTGGCTGCCCGTCCTCCCGGGCCCCCTGTGTGGGGACGTGCTAGTGGTCTTGGATGCTTAGTTCCCAAGTCTCATTTGGAATTATTTTAAAATAACTTTATCAGTTTGTGATGGATAAAAATCCATTTTGCTTTCTGACTCCGTTGCCCATCTGAATTTCCACCAGAAGCAGCGTCAGAAGAACTTGACGTGATCCTGCCCGTGACCTTGGTGTGTCCTCACTATCTACTACAAGCAAAATTCTTGGGAACTCTGATCCCAAATTCTACCTGTCCCTCTTACTCCTTGACTCCAAATGAGAAACCCAATTCTGAACCACCTGGTTGAAACTTGGCTGGGGTTAGGACAGAGCTGACAGACTTGATTTCAAATTGCAAACTGACAGATTTTGGAATCTCATAGGTGTGTACAAATCACATAATTACGGGTTTCAGTGAAAAGCGCAATCAGCTTTGCTTTGTTAAATTTTGTTTAAGTAGATACCTATTTGCTAGAGTATAAAAAGGAACTCGAAATTGAAAGGTATAGGACACCTGGGTGGCTCAGTTGGTTAAGCATCTGCCTTTAGCTCAGGTCATGATCCCAGGGTCCTGTGATGGAGTCCCACATGGGGCTCCCTGCTCAGCAGGGAGCCTGCTTCTCCCTCTGCCCCTGCCCCCCACCCCTGCTTGTGCTCTCTCTGTCTCTCTCTCTCTGGCAAATAAATAAATGAAACCTTTAAAAAAAATAGGAAGGTAAACGTCAGACAATCAGCACCTTCCCTGACTATGCAAACTCTTCTCTCTTCACACAGCTACAATTTAGGCTCAGGACACCTCCTACAGCCTCTGCCCTGCTCTGACAATTGTCCCTTTTCCAGATGCCTAAGTATCGCAGACCCATGTGAGAGTACGATGTATGACAAAGAAACTTGCATTACGTATTCTTGCCTTGAATGGCTGTGCACCCGATATGCATAGACACGTGGAAGAAAGATTCCTTTTTCAGTTATAACTTGCCTCTATGGTCTTAGGAATATTTTCAAGACGTATTTGCGTAAAACACACTAACATAGGGGGTCAGCACGGACACCACATCAGAAAGAGCATCAGACGTATGTGCAAGGTCTGAGTTGGTGAGAGAAATCATGAGTAAGGATGGTTCTATCATTTTTTTTTTCTCACAAGTTAGTATCTCGAAGTTTAAAAAATAACTGATTGGATCAGTAGTAATCCATTCAGATAATCGCACGCAGCTTGTATTGTTGTGATTCAAATTCGAATTTGATTGTTTCATTTAAAGGGCTTCAGAAAGATACCAATAATTTTGGACTCTTGGCATAATGTCACTGAGATTTTTAAATTGCTTGATTTGAAAGATCTCCTATTTTTTAATACATTCATATATACGTCTATAATTGGTAATGACATACTGCATTCTCTACTGTTGAGACTAGCTGAAAGTTAAGGCCAATCCACCACAAAATCTATCTCTAGGCACTCCCAATATTCTGATTTATCCCTTTTCATTTCCGTTTTAAAATTCAGGTCAAGAGAATGAGTCATGTTTAAAATAGTCTAGCGTAATCACACACACACACACACACACACACACATCCATGTATATAAAAATGGACACATCTAAATCAGGCTGGTGGATTGTGTCAGTGTTGGTTTTCTTGTTGGGACGTCATCCTGGCGGGATGCAAGGGGTTCCCTCCCACTGGGGACAGCTGGCCGAGTGGTATACAGCAGCTCTCTGTGTTATTTCTTACAATCCCACATCCATCTACAGTTCTCTCAAAATAAAGAGGTCAAGAAAAGATGCAAGAAAGGGAACACTATGTTATATTGTCGTTTTGTTTTAAAGAATACGAGGATGCATCATGGGTCTAGACAGACACTCAGAGACCCGCCTGCATTCGTGTCCACACTAAGAGCCACACATACGTAGCTATCCCCTTACACACACGTATGCTGTTTCCGAGACAGTAACCAAGGAATCGTTCACGCTGATTGCTTCTGAGGGGGAAGACTACAAACCCAGAGACAGAACGCCGGTGTACTTTCCACGGAAGAACTCCCCTCCATGCCTGAACTGAGCGGTGGGCTACTGACATGACACGCTGAGAAAATAATTTGGCTCAGAGTGAGGACGACACAGTCATCTCAAACCCGAAACAAGCGAGAAAAGAACGAGAAGCGGCTGAGGACACAGGGCAAGCCTGGGGCGCCCCTCGAAGCCCCACGTCTGACCCCGCACCAGGGAGGGCGCAAACAGAGAACCCGCGAAAGCTCTTACGGCTGGAGACGCAGTAGGACAGTCTGCAGTTGATCTTCCTGAAGAGCTGCTTGTTGACCGGCCAGAGGAGGAGAGTGAAGAGCTGGATGGTGTTTATTATGAGCCCCGAGGCGATGAACACGTAACAGAAGACGAGATGGCACAGGAACTGAGACTTCAGCAACCCGATGAGGTCCATGGCGCGCGGTTGCTTTTATCCCGACAAATAAATACTCGCAGGAGAATCCTTCCGAAGGGGAAAAAGGCCCAGCACTCGGGACAGCGTCTAGAATACAAACCAATGATACATGTTACAAAAAAACCGTCTGTGCTTTTAGAGTCGGGGAAAAAAAAAAAAAAACTCTTAAAAAGATGCTCTGAAGCTTCAACATCTTGTACGTGAGCTGGTTTATTTGTATTCAGGATTTACATAGAGCTCACTCGTGTCAGGCCCGGTGTCAGCCCTTAAAATTGAATAGTTCCTTTAATCGTCCTAACGCCCCGCGAGGTAGTTGCTGCTATTAGAGGGGGGACCCGAGACCCTAGAGTTTCAAGCCACTTGGCCAGGGTTCCACAGCTTCTCCGGAGTCCTCCTGCTCAGCCACTGGGCCGGCCCCTGTCCCTGGGGCTCACAGCAGCGGCTGTGTTTCTGGGCCTTCCCTCCTGCTGCCATCTCTGCTTGAACACCCTCCCCCCACCCACTTCCTCTTCCCATCCTCCAGATCCCACGCCCACCACATCTCTTCTCCTGGCAAGCCTGGCCTGCGTGAGATCGGGTTGGTCCCTGGCGTGGGCTCTCCCTCCCGAAGTCCCTGTACTAGCATGCCACGGGGTGTCCTCTCCTGGCGCTCGTCCAGTTGTTTGCCTTCCCGCACTGCACTGTCACTTCTCCCGGGCACACAATTACCTTGAAAATCATCATTTTCTCCCCAACCATTGGAACAGTCATTGGCACATAGTTGGAGCTTAATTTGAAAAAAATGTATATATACAGGTGGAACACTTTAACAAAGGTGGGCAAGGAAGGGACTCTGAGATATGGGCAAACACAAATAACCAACAATGAAGGCAAGAGAACCACCCCCAACCACCCCACCCCCTAACACACACATGCACACACACACACAGTCACACATATTCTAAAATCAGAAAGAAACTCAAAACACACAAAGCAGCCAGACTCACAGTCTCCAACCCCAAAATGGCGTAATGATATGACTTCACGGTGTGGCGAATCGAGCCTGGGGGAAATTTGTAAAGGCAGGAGGTGCAAATACTCTGGTGGGAAAATAAATAAAGCTGAGGTGGTCAGGCATCGCAGCCTTGTGCGCCTGCAAGCAGAATCGCACTGCAAACCTGCCCAGAAATGAGCTCAAGCTTTAGGATGAACTCCCTACAGTCATAGCTGGGAGACCCTGGACTTCCCTGCCGTCTTTATTAATAACACAAAGGAATCTATGTAACAGTTTCACATCTACTTCACCATTTTAAGCCTCCCGTGAATCCCATGAATAATGAGTATTATTATTATCCCATTTTTCAGAATAAGAAACTGAGATGACTCATGGGTTGGGTGATTTGCCTACAGTTGTCACAGACCATAACTAATCGTAGCTCTCAGTTTTACTCCTGAGTTCTTTCTTGTGCACCTGCTTGGGCTGCTTTGCTCCTGGGGTGTGAACCGGGGGTGGGGGGGTGTCCTCTTGGGCTGTACAGAGCAGCCCGCAGATGACCCCAAACACAAAAAGCAGCGCAGCCTTCACTGAAGTTCAGAATCACAAGTGAGGCTCCAAGTGCGGAGCGGGGCTTGTGTCTGGCCACCCCGACTGGTTTTGAAGATAGTCTTGGACCGGAGGACAGACAGAAGGTATGTTCTTCCAGAACATTTACACTTGCTTAGACAGTCTGGAAGGTACACAGTACTCGTGCATAGTTCCCATACATTTCTGATGGGGGGAAATGAAAACTAACCTAGGCCTGCCTAAGCTGAGACACCCCACTCTCCCAGAAGGCCTGCTCTCGGGCACAAAGCCAGGCCCCTGCAGAGACTGACGCGCCACATCTCTGACCTTTCTCAGGCGGCATGTCCCACAGACATCTCCAGGTTGCCCAGCTCTTTAAGACACACCCGGTTCTAACATACCCTGCCTCTCGCTAACGAGCAGGCGTTAAGCCAGCAGCCCACTCTCCGTGCACTTGACTTCGAGGAGTGATGTACGTTGGCTTACAGTTTGGCGGCAGCGATGGCAGGATGTTGAATATTCATGTGTTTTATTCACTGTCCCTACACTAGCTCCTAAAAGCTTCCATACAATCTGGCCAGAAGAAGGATGGTTCTTCACTAGGATTCTGGGATCTAGGATTTGTGGGGTCCTCGGCAAACCCTCTGTGTGCTGACTTAACACTAAGAAAAGGAAGTCAGCTGGCATTGGAAATGCAGGGGATAAAATGCAGTCTTCCTCGGTGTCCAGGCAGGAGTAAGGTGTTAAAAAGGAAATGTCGGATTTTTTTTTCCTTGTAAAAGACAGGGGACCACCATGCCCCTGAGTAAAACCCTGACTAGCATCACGTGGAGCGGGGCTCTAATGCCATACCAGTGATGGTTCAGGGGAATCACAGGCAGGTGGGTTTTGGGTGGTTTGGTTCTGCCCGCACTTCCTCAAACTCCCTTCCTAGATTGGTGTGGTGCGGCTGAGTGTGGGTTCAACTGTCTGGGTTTAAAGTTCTGCCATACCTCTTACTGGTCATGTATCTTCAGGTAAATTCACTCTTCTGGGTCTCTCTTTCTCTATCGATAAAGAGGGATCAAGGTTCCAGGGAGGTGGGACCCTGGGGGGCTCAGTCAGGTAAGCATCTGCCTTCAGCTCAGGTCATGATCCCAGGGTCCTGGGATGGAGCCCCACATCGGGCCCCTGGCTCAGTGGGGAGCCTGCTTCTCCCTCTGCCCGTCCCCCTGCTTATGCACACTCCCTCTCTCTCTGACAAATAAATAAAAACTTTAAAAAAAAAAAAAAGGATTCCATGGAAACTATTGCTTTTCTTTTCTTTTCTTTTCTTTTTTTAACTTAAACTGATTCTCAATTGTATAGGCGAGAGCAAAATATAGGACTAGCCAAGGAACTGCCTAAAAAAGGAAAGGTTAGCAGTGCCATAAGGTTATTAAACAATTTTACAGACTTTATCCTAGGACTGATTAGCAAAAGAGACACGAAGCTAAATTATTTAAGGAGGCGTCTACTGGGTGAATATGTGTCGTGTGTCTTAAGTTTATTCCAGATGGAAGTCTGGGGGATCACCCTACTTGTATTGAATAAAAGAACCTTTTTTTGGAATGTGGCAATCAGCCAATTTAGTGCCATATGGAGACAAGATGGTATAAAGATTTTTCCAGGGGCAAACGCAGGTAGATTGAAAATATTTTAAAATATTTTGCCTCTTTCCCTCTTAGTTGGGTAGCTACCTAGAATGTTAGGGGGAGAACCTTTCCAGCAAATTCACTTCCGTTGTTTATGGGAAGCAAGGAAATGACAAAGAATTTTATTTTTCAGACGATGAGAGCAGTAATCAATGGAGTTAACAAACCAACAAATGACCACGAAGCTGTTGCCCTGTCCTGTTTCTTTGAACAGAGATATTTCTTATCATCAAGGGTAGCCGTGAGGAAGCCGTGTGCCCGTTATCTGTCGTGGGTTATTACACAATGAAGAGACCGACGCGGCCCTCCCGGCACTCACCCGCCGGCCCTGAGTGCCGGCTCCAGGCACAGCAGGTGCAGAATTCAAGCCCAACCCTACCGGGCATTCCCTTCCCACCTGTGCACAAGTGAAATCCGGCTGCAAGTGACCAACACAGGTCAGGTGTGAGGAGGGGACAGAGGGAAGAAGTGACGTGATCGGGGCTTGAAGCACAAGCTGGTTGTGGTGAGAACAAGAAGGGGGAGCACTTGCCAGATATTAAAGCTCAGGCCAATCACAGTCTGGTGAGTGAGGGGGACATCGAGGAGGAACTGCTGACACACGAAGACATTTTAAAGGAAACCATAGAGAACAGGAAAAAAAAAATGCCAGGAAACCAATCTGTATACATTATTTGAATTTTTCCGAAGGTCAAGTCTGACCCATGAGCTTAATACACATCATCTGAAAATTACTGAACCAGAGTTTTAAATATAGATGAAAAGCTCCTGTTACCAGGGCTCATAATAGGTTCAAGGAGAATAGGTCACTTCAAATTACCTTTACTTCCCAGCCACTGAGGGTTTAGCAGATTTGGAATTTAACTCATCATTTGACAAAGTCTCTGGCAGTCGTTGAGGGCACGTGGTTACCCATGAGTCTATGTTAAACTGGTTCCCAGCTGCTTGAAGCATCTGTCATTGATGTTGGAGGAGGCCCCTTATTCAGTGGAAGGAGTCTCCCTGTGTACCACCAGGACCTAAACCTAAAAAGGTCGTTCATACAAGGATGGGAGAGACCTAGGGGTTACACATAGGGGATGCTGAATGACCATGAACCAACTGTACAACAGACACGTTAAACCAGTGAGTACAGGCCTTTGAAGAACGTAAGAATAAACCGGGTGAAAATGGCCAACAAAGAAGCGTGATTCAGGTTTGTAAAATAATAATGCGTATATTTGTCTCTTTCACATCCCCTTCTATTTCTATAGTCATAGCCATCTATTAATAGTGGCTAGTTTCTGGCAGAAGAATTATGATGGTTTCTTTTTTCTCCTCTGCTCTATTATTCTTTTCACTAATGAGAAGGAGATCTTCCCCTTTCCGGGGCAGAGAGGTGGATGGACCCCCTTTCCAGCCTGCCTTGCGGTTAGATGTGGTCAGATGATGGACACAGGTGGTGCACGAGGGGAGAAACCACAGGTGGCTGGTGGAGAACAAGTACATCGCTCGCAGACTTGAGGAGAAAGGACAGGAGTGTTGGCAGCCCCTGGCAGGGGAGCGCAGAGGTGATAATCCAGCCCATGAGCCACAGACAAGCGAAATTCTGCAACGTGGAGGCCACCGGGGGCCACCTTGCATGCAGGCACAGGTGCTTGGGAAAGGCCATACAGCACAACCGTTAGAGACCAGGAAAGGCTAAGGGGACCTTTTGAGTTAGGCAGCTCCGGCTGGAAATCCAGGCTCAGCCACTTGACGGCTCTAGAAATCACGCCCTCGTCGGTGAAACCAACGTGAGGTTGCTGTGACGATCAAGGCTAATCAAGAAATGTAAATTCTGAGCAAACAAACCAAAACCTATTCTTTACATTCCCTTAGCAGAGCGCCTGTAACACAGGGAGCGCCCAAATAACGGGAGAATTTTTCCATGGTTGCAAGAAAATAAGGAGGCCAGGGGGAGCCGCTAAGATGTATTACTCTGGCATTTCTGGGAAAGCCGTGAGAGAGAAACCGACTTAGTTTTTCTCTCACTACATTTCCAGAGCCTGACATTATCTTTAATTTACCTTCAAGTGTGTTAAAACATTTCCTCCCCCAGCTGTTTTAATTCTAACCTCTCCTTTTCTGCGAGTGACTCAGACACGGGAAATGATGCGTTCACGAAAGCTCCCGTAGTCTTTACCTTCTTAACTCTGGAACAATCCTTGCAGGCGTGGGGATGAAGAAGTGGACCTCAGAACGAGAGAAAGTGCAAGCCACAGAGTGCTCGAGGCTGTCTCTAGCCGGGAAGTGAGCGGACGCAGAGCCGCAGCCCTGCCCACAGCAGCCTAGCTCCGCTCCCAGGGACTCCCGAAGCGAGTTCTGTGTGGTCAAGCAGATGGTGCCATAGGCCGCTGACCTCCTCCAGTGGAAACATAAGCAAATAAAGAAAGCTCGGAATGTCCCCACAAGAGAATTCAAACTGCATCGTCCTCCAAAAAGACACAGAGAGCTTCCACGTAAAGCGCTCAATTAGGCGACAAACAGGAGACCCTTAGTTAAGACTGACAGAGTCTGCCTCCGTCAGTATTCGGAAACTATGAAATAAACACGACCTTCAGTTACACTCGGGAAGAGAGAAAGGGGATTAGCTCCTACACTCGCGTGTGTCTGAAGGGCTGGCTTGTTTGCTGCAGTACATTACGGGACTGAACCAGGTCGGGGTTTTAGAAGAAGCAGGACTTTCTTCCAAAGAAATCAGTCCAAGTGAATTGCTAAAATAATACCCATGACCAACTTAGCATCATCACCGAAATCAAAACAACCCCTTATTTAGGCTCTTTTAACTCCAAACACCAGAACAGGTCACAAAACAGAAAAGAGAGAAAAGATTTTGTAAATACTAAGCCAACAAACCAAAACCTATTTTTTACATTCCAAAGGAAAATACTGAGACACCATGCTGAAAGAGACGAGGTCATGTGGGGCTCCTAGCCTCAGTGTGAGAACCACCACGCGGGCTTTTTAGAGCGACCTTACACATCTTCACACCGCTTCATCTAGTAACGTGGCTTCTGAGAAAACTCTCTTAAGGACAAAATTAACTTTTAGAAAAATTCTCTCTGCCCGAAGATCTTCAGCAAGTATGATTTATAAGCACCTAAAATTAGAAACTGCTTACATTTCCATCATGAGGAAACAATAAAGTGAATGATGGGAAACCCACACGGTTGAATAAGTATCACTATAATAGGTTTGTAGTAAAATGAGCGTATTTTCAATAGGCTACTATGAGATAAAGGACCCAAAATTTGATATACATATATATATATACATATATATATATATATGTATATATATATATGGTTCACAACTTTAAAATCAAGTATAGAAAAAGTACTGGAAGCAAAGAAAGCCTTAGGAAAACACTAACAGCAGTGGTTTTATGTATACGCCCCCTCCCCCACATCCAACACACACCCCCCCACACACACTCAGACAAGTCAGCCAACCTGGAGTCTGGGCTTGGCCTGACTCTTTCAACATCTTCCTCCTTAGGAAGAAATTGAGTAGGTGAGCTCTGAGATCCTTTACAGATCCAACTGCCTCTGGTTCTCATACAGAAAACCGATGCCCTCACCCACTGAGTTTCCTGTTATTTCAATGGGGTCTCCTCATTCAGGGGATCCGGCTCCTTCCCTCTTCCTGAGCTCCTGCACAGAGGGGCTCTCAAAGGGGCTCGGCTGACCAGATGAAAAGAAAAGGAAAACTACAGGGATTGGCAGAGAGCAGCGTGGACTAAGCAAACATGGGGTTAGCTGGTGAGTTCGTCTCTGCACCAGTACTTTCGGTCGGCAAGGCAGAGAATGCCCGGGGCCGCCGGCGGCCCCGGAGGAGAGGGACATGGATGCAGTCCCAGGGAAAATGAGTGAGGTGTGTTCTGCTCTTGGAACCATCAGATCCCACCTTCTCCGTGAGGCTGAATGAATTTCGTAGAGATCTCCAAGAGGGCAGCAACTAACTTGTGGAAGTCTGAGGCAGACACTTAGCACTCGGTCCTGACAAACAAGGATAAATTTAGTTTTTGGATTCCTGAGACTTAGATTGGCTCAAGTCCCAAAACAAGACAGGAGAGAAAGTGTTCTAGACCAAATGTAACCGTCTCTGGGACCATCTCTAACTAAAATAGCGCTCAGCTAAAGAAATCATCCTCATCACATGGTTTGGCAGAAGCCGATTACAATTAGCTTCCGTTAAAATTTGATGGCCCAGTCCTCTGTCCAAAATCCCTGTCCCGTACAGGATGTCCGTTAAACCAAACCAAGCTCAGAAGTCGTTAATCACGCTCAACGCTTTCCTTACATCCTCTGGGTGATAACCCAAAGGCTCTGTCCCCAAAGTCTAATTTTAGGGTGATAAAAACTTAAGTCTATAGGAAATCGAGGCATCTAAGTTTATATTTCATAGTTGGTTCTGAGTAGCTTATATGAGAAAAAGACATTCTGAAGAGGTTTTCTATCTAATCCAAGAAGACCAAGACTCAGAGGCAAACACCGATGGATAACCTAGGCAACTTTTTCTGTCTGGAGAACAGAGACGGGAGGAAATTAAATCAGATACTCTCTAAGGCCTTTTGTAGCTGTAACAAGTATGAGATGAAAACGTCCAGAGGCAAACAGGAGATTTTCTGAGTAGTAACCGGTGCAACGGGACCCGCACGCCAATGTTCTACACACATTACATCATTCCCTGTGACAAAAGCCCACAGGGGAGTCACTGTTCCCCCATTTTATAGATGAGGAAATGGGGTTAGTTAGACTAGGGAGCAGGTAAAGGTCAAAGAGTAAGTAAATGTCTGAGACCCAGGCTCGGGCTCTGACCACTACGATGCTGCTTTGGACCCAGGAAGCCCGAGGTAGCGAGGCTTCCCATGAACCTGGGCCTTCAGAACACCATTCCGTATTTCGATTCATGGTCCCATTTTGGACATTGGGGTGACCCTGAGTTGTGAGCAACCTCCCAGCCGGTCAGTCCCCCCGCAGCCTCAGTCATACCTTCTTTCCGGAGCCATGTCGGACCTTTCTAAACCCCAGTCCAGCTCTCTGCGGTCACAGGGCCACGGGGGGCTCTGACCTCACAGCGTGCATGCAGTCTCAGGGAGACCCCCGCTGGCCACCTTCCTGACAGCCCAGAGTGTGCGAACTATTTTGCTAGGGACTCAGTGGAAAATGCGTTGTTACATGATGTTCAATTTCTAGAAGTTTCCCGAAAGTCCAGTACCATGAAACCAAAAATGGAAGTAAAATGAGGGCAATTAATCTTCCAAACAGGGAAGCATCGACATACCTGCTTTAAGTAAGAATATTCCAATTAATAAGGAAAGCTTTTCAAATAGAGAAGGGAAACAGGACAGATGTTTGCATGGAAATTGGTGTCTCTCTTTCACGGTTGCCGCTGCGGGGTGGCGGCTGCCGGTCAGTGACACACCTGTGACGGGGGACACGTGTGGAAATACGTGGAAGCTGAGGATATCCTGGGCACGTATCCCCTCAGGCCTCTCCGAGCGGGGAAATGGCCCGGGGCCAGCTCTGGGCCTACAGAAGCAGGCGTGAGGCAGATGCAGCACCAGCTGGCACCAAAACACAAAAAAGAGAGCTTTATTCAGTATATAAACCACCTCCTACTCTAGTCCTCCCATCACCAAGGCAACGTGGTCAGGCCTGCGGTCTCACGGTGCCCACTTCTCTCCTTCCCACACGGGCCGTGACAAGCAGCATGGCCAAGCCAGCCACGGAGCAGCTCTATGGGCAGACGCTGGGTTTAAATCCCCACTTACTGACTGCGTGACCTTGGGCTTCTCATCTCGCCTCAGTTTGTGTGTCTGTGTGATGGAGGGAATAATCGCCTCCTTCCAGGAGTGGTGTCACGCTTACACGCAGAATGCACAGAAAGAGAGCACCCAGCTCCGCCGGCAGGAAGGAGCTCTTTAGTTCAAGCCGGCAGGTGCGCCCAGGCTGCCTGGTGTGTCTCATTCCCCTTCAGCTGCTTTGTCCATGACCCCAAACCATCTACCATCTTGTCTTACTAATCTTTCCACTATGGTTCTCGAAGTTTCTTCTTGGTTTTAAGCAATCTCTACACCGAACATGGGGCTCGAACTTACATGCCCCGAGATCAAGAGTTGCCCGCTCTACCACTGAGCCAGCCAGTCCCCTCTTCTGTTTGTTTTAATGAGTCTTTGTCTGGACCTTTTCTGTCATCCACACAATCTGGGATGACCCTGAGGTGAAGTGAGTTGTAAGAACCCCCCAAAGTTGACTCACGAGTTTTAATTGATTTTGTCCCCATTCCTGTCCTCAAGTAAGATTGTTCAAAATCATTGATTCTGAGGCCCTCTTTAGTTCATTAGTTTTCTCAACTGTATGGGAGAAAGAAATTGAACTCATGTTATGGATTTTTGCCTTTATGTCGCTGAAGAGAAATAAAAAGCAGTGTTAATAAGATCAAGACCACAATCGTCCTGGTGCCCTCTGAACATGCCAGTACTTCCCCAGTGATATGGAGTAAGTTAAGAATAAGCAGATAAAAGGTATGTCTGTATCCACCAGGAAACAGTTTTCAGGGGGCTGACTTCTGAGCAGGGTGAGGTTGGGGCCAACTTATGGTGCGAGTTAGGTCACCAGCGAATCACGGAGCCTAAATTTTTTTCATAAAATCTGATCTTTAATATTTAAAATATCAATCAAAAAAAAATAACAAAAAGCCTTTAAAAGAAGGCTTACAGCCCAATTTAAAACTTCGTTGGAAATTTCCTTACACGTATTCTATAATTTAATGTTTTCATTCTCGATACCCATTGGAGGAGGGGTACAACCCTAATCTCTTCAGTATTTAGGAGCTCTCACCTTTAAGCAGGCTCCAGTTTGGCCAAACAACCCCACATGGTCTGGAAGTGGCCAGGCCAGGAGACCGTGGGGATAGGGGTACTGACCCACCGGAGATAGCTGAGCCCATTGTCTGGCATTGATTTTCCAGTAAAGCTGATAAGATCACACGAATCTTTCTTTACTTATTCTGGCCTAGCCCACCGAGTCTGTCTGGGTTGATGGCTCCATCAAGAGTGCCCACTATGCACAGACAACATTGTCTGGGGCCATGGGCGCAGGGCCTGTAACCAACAAAGGTCACCAGCCTCTGACAAATAGCCCAACTGCCCTTCCTGGGTAAGCTCCAAGCATTAGATATGAAGTGATAAGGCCGAGAAGACGTGACGTGGTAGTGGCCGAAGCCTGAAGGCTATGGAACAAAACCACATGGACGTAGGATTCTCTTCCACACAACAGCTCACCTAGTCTGTTTGCAGCCAGACGAGGGGGCGCGACGTTGATTGGGAGCTTCTCCTGCATCGGCTTGTATCAGCTGGATTAGAGCCCTCATGAGTTCAGCGGCAGTCAAAGATGGAAGTAGAGAGAGGGAAGCACCAGTGTCGACCTGGGTCTGCGCTGGACTCTGGACCATCCACGTGTCCTCCTCGGCTTGGTTGCTCGGCCTCCAACAGTGCCAGCTTCCCCATCTGTCCATGGGACATGACCACTGACCACAGGTAAGGACAGTGGGAGAGTTCAGTGAGGTAAGGCGCGTGCACGGGCTCTGTCGCACTCAAGTTTGTGGCTCAGAAAATGGGAAGTGGGGCTGCTTCTCCCCATTGCATCAACGATGGTGCTTGGGATTCGCAGAAACGACCATGGCGTTAATACCCTGGGGTTTCGACCAGGGAGTAGGGCGTAGAGGAGGCAGTCCGCTGGCTCTGTCATTATCACTGGGGTTCGTTGTGTGTATTGGGGGAGGGTTCCAGGAGGGTCCACTTGGGGGAACCAATTTTGGGTGAAATAAGCAAGTGGCCTTTTTCTTCTGTGCCTCGAGCACCAGTGAGTGGGCTCCTTACTCTGCTGGATCCCTCTCTGTCCTCCTCACTGTGCTTTAAGCATCCTTGACCCTTGGGTTCTGGGAGGCCCTGTTGCTGCCAATTCTTCCTTTTCTGGTAAAGAGTATGTGGAAGGTGGGAGATCAATAAGGCTAGATTTTAAATCTTTCATTTCTTTGATTTTCATAAAGGGATGCCAATGAACCCAGGCAATTTCCCTGACTTGATTCATGCATAATGGACCTGAAGAGAGACTTATTAAAAAAGAAATGCACTCAAATGCTTTCCTGACATGAATCATTTATTGAAGACAGAATTGCTGGCTGTGAGGGCCCAAAATAAGTTGACTTACAGTATCCTTGTTGCTAGAGAGGTCTGAAATATGACCACAGAATATTGAAGTATTCAAACAGGAACAGCACTTTTGGGGTCATTACGGACGGACTATTCCTCGAAAAGTTTCATTAAATAACAGCAGCAATAAACCGCCAAACACAGCCTCTTCTCTGTCTTTTTCTTTTTCTGCTTGGCGAGAGCAGTGATGTTCTTTTCAACTTCCGTGAGGTAGAATCCTGGACACGTATTCTTGGATCTGAGCAAACATTCATTAACCCATTGATAGCTTTATTCATTCATTAGGTTGCCCATGAAGCTACTCATTCATCCATTCAGTTAAAGATTCATTGATTCATATGTCTTGTTCTAACTTTATACCATTGCGTTAGGCTTCTGAAGGTAAGGACAGGGGATTCTCTCCGGCCCTCTCTCTGTGTCTTTTTTTTTTTTTTTAATAAAGATTTTTATTTATTTATTTGACAGACAGAGATCATAAGCAGGCAGAGAGAGAGAAAGAAAGAAGGAGGCTCCCCGCTGAGCAGAGAGCCCGATGTGGGCCTCGATCTCAGCACCCTAGGATCATGACCTGAGCTAAAGGCAGAGGCTTTAACCCACTGAGCCACCCAGGCACGCACCTCCCTCTCTGGGTCTTATGTGGGTCAGAACTACACTCGACAAACTACAGCACATACTGAGTAAGATTTCCCGACCCAGGATGAACCCCCACCCCATCCATTTCTTACAGAATAAACAGATGCTCAATAAATGTTGGTCCAGTCTGCATCTCTAGATGACCTAATGTAATTTGATCTTCATAGCAATAACTCTGAATCGTCAAAAGCAAAATGCAAAAGCGACAGTATGAGCTGACACTGTCCTAGGTTTCTTTCCCATTACAGAAAGCACAGGGCAGGTGACCTAACAATTTATTCTCCTTGCAAAAGCCATGCAGAGAACCCCCATGATTCCTCCCTCAGCCATAACGTTGTGTAATGAGCATGGAATCGTCTTCGACAAATGCTAAAATTGCATGAGGCCATATATCAAACTGACATGAAAACAACTAAAATGAAAGCAAATTACCTGCTTAAACCTCCTCAGGGGAGCTCAGATATTGGTTGGGACCAGAGTGGACTGGTTTTTTGTTTGTTTGTTTCTTTGTTTGGTTAGGTTTGGTTTTAAACAAAGACTCTTTTGTTAAAATACAAATCTAAAAAAATTAAGAATACAAATATAAAATAAAACACAAACCTGGTAAAAGTAAAGAAAATTATACTATGTAAGTCACTGAGTCATAATCATGGAATATTTTTAAAGATAATCTCCCCCCCGGATCATAACAGTAACTCACATTCATTATAGAAAATTTGTAAAATTCTAAGATGTAGAAATTTTAGCACCTGTAACCGTCAAAGATGGTGTCTTTGGTGAATGCATAGACTTTTTATTTTTTTTCTTTGCTAGGTACAACCATTGCAGAAGGCTTTTTGTTTTTAAATACAGTTGAGCTCTTAGGTTGAATCAATTTCATATGTCCTTTTCTTCCACTTTAGTGAGATAATTTTCAATGTCCATCTATCACAAGATAACTCTTCAGTTATTTATTATCTTACTGCCTCATTGTTGTCTGTTTAGACTTCTTTTTGCCTTTTTAATAATAAATAAAGCAATGATTAATAATTTGGGGAGTAACTTTTCTTCCATTTTTTCAGTTATTTCCTTAGCATGGGTAGGATTTCTGGGTTCAAGGAGCAGTTTCAGGGGTATCTGGTAAATATTACCAAATCCATTTCCAAAAGGTTTGTAGTTAT